GAGAGGGAAGGGTGATGCTTATTTTGATAACAATCAACATTAGGCATCACATAACCTCTCCACTCACCATTAGACATCAACCATTCTCTCTCTGTCAACAATAAAATTAAATTAGAGGGCTGCCTCGAAGCAGCAGTTTGGGAGAAGAATTTAGACAGAGGGGATAGGGGTGATCTTACCTTTACACCTGTATCTATAGAAGTGATTTCCCTCCCTATATCCTCTTACTCTGAATTCTATAAAGTTTCGTTGTGCCAGCTATGATGCCTTTTACATATAATATAAATGCGTTTTTTGAGCTCACTATATTAGTCTAATTACAAATACTCTGAATATATTTTGATCTTGTGTCTAATCCTGCGCATGCGTGTCTCTTTGTCTAAATGCAATATAGGGATATAGATACAGTATAACAGTGATTGCATCTTCAAAGGCTTACTTGGGCATAATTCAAATTTTGTCTTTACTCTATTTAAGGCTAAGGTATCTAGATTTATCCTCTATTTCCCTGTTCTTTTTCATTTTCTTACCAATTGGTCAATGGTCTGACCAGTTATTTCACTTCACACTGGTTTGCACATTCTCTAGTTCTATACTTATTCCCGTGTACTTAATTTGGTTCTCTAAGATTATCAATAAAGATTTTATTTTGCTATTACCTTAAAATGACTTTAAATTGGAGGTGATTTCAGTGAGGTTAGGCCCTCTGATCCCTGCGACCTTGAGCCGACGAAGGTGGGGGCGCAGAGAGGACCCCCGAATCGGCTCTTATCGAGTAAGGCAGAGTAGGCACCTGTTTACCTGGATGGCAGGTGCCTACTCTGCCGATATATACTGCAAGGAGGTGGGAGGAGAGTAGGCAAGCGGTGTTTGGCAGTAACGAGGGAGGCTGATCTGGCAGTGACGAGGGAGGCTAATCTGGCAGTTCCTCTCTCCTCCCCTGGAGCCCTCTGTAATGCCAGGAGCCGAAATATTACGTCATTTCGGACCCGACATACTAAACAGCGTGTGGGAGAAGTGGGGAACTGCTAGATTACAGCACAGCCCCACATTGGACTCCAGGGAGATAACCCACACCAGCTCTCCAAAAGATAAGGAGGCTGGGTGGTACTCAAAAAATTAAAGTGTGTGAGTGTTTTGCGTACAGTGTGTCTGTGCATACATTAGATGTATGGAGGGGCTGGCGGGGGAGGAGGGGAATGAAATACATGGAGTGGCTGATGGGGGTATGAGACACAGGGGGGGGAAGGTGCAGTTTTCGCATCAGGGCCTGGTGGTATCTAGTTATGCCTCTTGTGGGAATGTCAGGGAGAGTGTGTTGAGAGTGTACCATTCAGTGGTTTTGAAAGAGGGCCCAGAAATTCTGATGGCAGCTCATGGTCGACCACCCTCTTCCACTCTCACCATTGTTATGCACTGGCCCCGACCCCACCACAATAAGAAATCCATCTTCTCCTACCATCATTAGGCTTGGCATCTCCCTGAGCCTATATCTGTCTCAAAACTAGCAGCATGAGCTATCACTCCATCCCTCTCATTATCCATGTAACCACGTTGCAACCTCCAGGAGCAGACCCAGGCCAAGATCAGTCTTGCTCTAAAGGCTCTCTCTTACCCCTGATACAAACATAGACTACATCCTCACCGTTCAAGTGATAAGTGGGAAGAACAATTCAAAATTAACTTATCTAATTATGTACAGCTTCCTCCAAGGATATCCCAGAATACATCCCTTTAACAACCAATATAACCAAAAGCAATATGGAGGATATAGCTGAAGATCTACAAGCAGTAAAACATACCATAGTGTAATACAGTTTAAATGTAATCTGTGCGCTAGCAGAGTTGCACTTACATGAATGAGATGAAATCTCTTTTACCCCTGCCTGGCAGCTACTGGTCAGGGAATGTACGTGCAGTTCAGGCGAAGTGAGCCATCCCACCATGTGCCCATGTCTGATCCCACAAGCTGCTACCAGTTGTGGAGCCAAGGGTGGAACACCAGGGAGAATGACTTCCCACCCGAGAAGCTATAGGACCAAAATAAGCCTTAGACTAAGTTTAAGGTCTCAATATTAAGACATTGTCGGGGGGCAGAGCCTAGCGGTTGAAGAGACTAGATGCACATTTGCAGAGCTCTGGGAAGACCCGCTCTAAACTGCAGTTTTGGGTTACCTTACAGTCCAAAATTTTGGCAATATTCTATTCTTAGCTCCAATGGGTTGTAAGACCAAGAAGCAAAGGTCCGACAAGACCAGATCGAGCATGACAATCTCTTACGACAAGCACCAGGTGCATGTGGGCCCAAGATATCTGTGGAATTAGATGACTCCTCAGATTTCTCACAGGAGTTTCCACTAAGCAGAGGGAACATTGACTTACCACTTCAAGCACCTACTCAGTCTGTTCCACTAATACCGGAATTTCAACGGAGTGACAACGGAGGCGAATCTCCATAAAACGCTCCAAGCAGACATGGCGTCCCTACAGTCTTGTAGGCCGACTGAGCTCAGTAGAGGCCTCCGCGGACGACCAAGCCCGGAAGATCACCTCACTTGAACAAGAGGTGTAGGCTCTGAAACAACAGCAGGCGGTCTTGCGGCTTTGGAGGACTTAAGACGCCGAAAAAACTTGAAGATCAGGTGCATCTCGGAGAACATTCCAGTAGCGGAGATTCCGCACCTCCCGAGGAGACTTCTGGCAGCCTTACTGTCACCAAAGCAGGCCAAGCAAATTTCCATAGACGAGTTCTTCAGAGTTCCTAAACCTCTGAAGGCCCCTGAGACAGTGCCCTGGCATGTGGTGCTGCGTTTCCGTAGTCACAGTGACAAAGCAGTCAACCATAAAGGTGATTACTCCATACTCATTTGAGAACATGGAATTTACCTTTTTCTCAGACCTGTCTGGAGATACACTGCAATGGTGGAGGTCCCTATGTCCATTCACCATACTCCTTAGGAACCACAACGTCCGCAATAGAAGGCACGGGTCAAGGACCCCCCAGGTTCTACAAGGCAACTCAATCCACACAGTGCAAGACCTGTGAGGCACCGTGGATTTCTTTGACACCCTGGGCCTCCCATGGGACTCTTTGCGACAAATAGGGACATCAGTAGCGAATGCAAAACCCCACACTTGGGTCCCGGCGACTATCACTCTGTTTGTTCCTTGGTGGGCCCTTATGCTGCTCTTAAACTGTACCAGATATAGAGACTCACACATGCAGATCTAGTCAGCTATGTTTACTGTAACATTGTGATGATTTTATAATGGCTTGGCTGTTCATTGTTTCAAATGTGCTCACTGGTGCTGTTGTGGCATGGTGGGTCTCTCTGTTAAACGTATTTTCGTGCACAACATAGAAACATAGAATGTGACGGCAGATAAGAACCTTTCAGCCCATCTAGTAAGTCTGACAATCAAAGTCCAAAGGATTCACAAATTGCTATTGCTGGGAGTGCACTGTATGCTTTATTTCATGTCTATATGTCTATATATCATGACCCACTGTTGAGAGCCATGTACAGGCTCAGACAACCCAGAGCATAGCAAATGACAGATGTTAGAGAACCATTCTAGGATCAGACTGAGCCTGTCTGAAATTTATCTTCAGATGGGGCAATTTCATCCAATAATCCAAGATCTTGGCATGCCCAACTGTCTTAATGGTTTATCCAGACTACCATTACCGGGGGAGGGCAATGGGTACTACAGTTAGATACAAAAAACAAACCATTCCCCTTTCTCCTCCCGCCTGAAATAAAAATCACTGCTAATAGTTGTTGGATTTTCTTGTACCAGTTTGACTTGGGCTTCTTGAAGGACATCTGATGGTTCACTGGGTGAAGTAAAAACAGAACAAAATCACACATGCCTCAATAATGTAGATACCCCTTAGACTCATAGTGAGAAATTCACACTATAAAACACACCCATAATATAAATAAGCCGTACTGATGAAAGCAATGGTATTGCAAAATGAGCATATCCAACTCCATTTATCATAAAGCAAAATATGTTTATACTTTAAGGTCTAATTTGGATTAAATACTTGCCACATATCTCCTGTTCTCGATATACTACATGTGGCCATTTGTGTAACTAAACCCACTTAAATTAATCAAACTAATTGACCCCAAAATGTAAAAGCTTCAAATTCTTACCTAATTCTTTCCTTAGATCAGGAGTAGCTGTGAGACCCCAGGGTAACTCAGGTCACGGTTCCACATACATGCATTCTCCGTCTTCCACCAGTCCCTGGATCCATCCAGAGTCAGTCACCAGGCTGTGCAACTTTATTTATCTTCCAAATTAAAATTTTATTATGCTTTTTGTTACACACAATTCACATATAAACACATTTTACTGAGTGTTCTTTAGCCAATATTTTCCATGTGTGATTGAAATAATTACCTCGATTGAAATTCTTTCTCAATAGTTTGCTGTTAGTCCCCAAAGGTTACTGAGGTCACAGATCCACAAACTTATCTGCAACCATCTTCCATCTTCCTGGATACATCCATGGTCAGTCATCACACTCTGCATCTTTTTTTTCTTTCGAAATCTACAATCCCTTTTTTTTTTTTGCAGTTCATTTTATTGTAACAGACAAGTGTGAGGTACCCCAACGGCACTCCTCAGGCATAGCTTCACGCATTACATTTGGGGAAAAGAGAATGCATGCACCATTTTATAATAGAAAGTAACAAGAGTAGTTAGGCTAGACATATTATACGAGTAGTAGTAAAGAAAAAATAAGCATTTATAGTGTGTCAGGGTGTGATAGTAGAAGTGTTACAGGTTGCTTAACTGACAGTAGTAGTAGTCTTACTAAGAGCTGCTATCATGCTTGAGACATTAATGACAGGCTGTCAGGTTAGGTTATGTTATGTTATGCTCGTGTAGAATACTGCCTAACCTGCTATCTTAGCATATGGGCTGTTAACCTAAAGAGAAGGCATACATAAAAGAGTAGTTAAAATAAGACAGGCTGGTCTAACATAGATGCTGCCAGTGCCGATCTGGAACTGAGGATTTTGGCGCTCTGCACGGGCTGCAAGTCCGTCCTATACTGGGGTTGAGGCAGGATGATGCTGAGGCCCATGTCTCTTAGGTAGTTTGCTAGACAGTAAGTTTTGGCTTGGGCTTGGTCTGTAGGCTGCAGTGTTGTCGCCATGACAACAAGACGAGCCCAGAAGTCTTGGAACATTGAGTCCAGTCTCTGCAAGGTGCTCTCCATGCTACTGCTGCCCTCAGAACAGGTTGGCTTCAGGCTCTGCTACTTCGCGGAAGGCATTCCCGCCATTTTAGCAGGCATGTGAGTGTGCTCTTTAGATGCGGTAGTTTCCATACTGGTGTCAGGACTGAGCAGATCGACTTGGCAGGGACCGGTATAACCCCCGGCGGTCTGGGGGGGGAGGGGTCGGAGCAGAGGGGGCCCGCACAGCAAGCTTGAGAGTGGGGAAGTCGGCCGTCCTTCCCATGTCCCATCGCCCGTAGGCCTCAGCAAGCTTCTCCTGTCTTTCCAACATCAGAGGGTTCCGTGAAAAGTATCGTTGTGGTCCCCACTGCACCCCAGTTTAGGCTGCGTGGGATCCCCTCGATTTGGGTGCTGTGGTAGGTGGTTGCCCCCCATATTCAGCGAGACAAGCGGGAGCTTTCTCAGTACACGTCTGTTCAGCATGAGGCTTAGGCTCCGTCCCCCCTTACAATCCATTTTTTTTCCCATGGAGAAGGCTATTGAGTACGATACGTCTGCAATCTAAATATAAACACATTTTACTGACCATAATTCTGCCAAAATGTTCCATTTGTGATTTAATTAATTAGAATTGAAAACACAAAAGCTGAAAACTCTTACTTATTTAGTAGCTGTTAGACCCCAAAGGTTACTCAGCTCACGGCTCCACAGACGTGTCTGCATCCATCTACTACTGGCCCCTGGGTCCATCCATGACCCATCACCAGGCTATACATCCTTCCTATGGCAGAAGTTGGTGGTCTAAAAAAGATGGATGTGGAAGCTCCTTAAAGTGTGTTGATTGTAGGCTGTTATAGAAAAACAAATGTTTTGATGAAGATTTTCAAGCAAACTTATTTTTTTTTTCAGGCCCTAAATTGCAGATATATGCATAAGACTATGCAAAGCCTAATGAAGGGTTATATGGTCAAGCAGCAAACCTGTGATTGCAACTAAAATTAATGCCAAACTGTTATCCATACCCACATAGAAATCAACCATTATAATATGTATTAAAATCAACAACAACAAAAACAAAGTAAGTTACCTTTGCCCTATCCCAAATTGAAATGTTCACTTTAAAACAGCAAAGCTTTTTAGTAGAACTGAATGGCAGTCCTGCTAGGTGAGTCATAGGCTAACACTTAATATGACTGGTGTTAGCTCAAAGTCTTTAATTAGGCAAAATGTTTGTTTTCCTTATAAATTCTTACCAAGTAATTGACCTAAAGAAAGAACACATGGGTAGGTGGGTGCCATATATGAAGGCCGAGTAATGTTAAAGAGATTAACCTAAATTATGACATATGCTGGAAGTTAAAGCCCACGGCTATACATGTGATTTTATCAGATAAACCAGAGAAATCTTCATGGTCGCAGTGTCTGCCACGGTCATTCTGAACGTATGAAATGGAAAAAACAGATTTGGAGTGATTTCATCTGAAGAATTATATCATCACTGCTGAACAAACAAACCAGACAGAAACCTGACCAAGAGTGATCACTGTCAATGAGGTAACCCAGCATCGCATGGCTTCGTTCACTGGCTGAGAGTGATCAGCGACTGTTCTCAGCCAATAAGGTAACCCAGCATTGCATGGCTTCGTTCATTGGCTGAGAGTGATCAGCCAATAAGGTAACACCATAGAGATAGAATACCTAGACGTGCACTGTGTGCTGAGCGGCGAGGAATGCGGGCGCCATCTTGGACCCGTCGCCGCTCTACTGAAGCTATTGAAGAACACTTGGAAAGTCCATCTCACAAAAGGTAAGAGAAGGACTTGGGGCACTTATAGTCCTTAATACCCCTACCCCTACTCCTTAATACCCCTACCCATACAGTGTTAATACCCCTACCCCTAGTCCTTAATACCCTTACCCCTAGTCCTTAATACCACTACTCCTAGTCCTTAATACCCCTAGCTCTACCACTTAATACCCCTACCCCTAGTCCTTAATACCCTTACCCCTACAGTGTTAATACCCCTACCCCTAGTCCTTAATACCCCTACAATGTTAATACCCCTACCCCAGCCTACCCCAGCACACACAGTGTTAATACCCCTCCCCCAGTACACTATGTGTATTAACACTGTGTGTGTAGGGGAATTAAGGGCTATGTGGGCTGGGGTAAGGGTATTAAGGACTAGGGGTATTAAGGACTAGGGGTAGGGGTATGAACACTGTAGGGGTAGGGGTATTAAGGACTGGGGGTAGTGGTATTAAGGGGTAGGGCTAGGGGTATTAAGGACTAGGGGTAGTGGTATTAAGGATACTGTAGGGGTATTAAGAACTAGGGGTAGGGGTATTAAGGACTAGGGGTAGGGGTATTAACACTGTAGGGGTAGGGGTATTAAGGACTAGGGGTATGGGTATGAAGGACTAAGGGTATTAAGGGCTAGGGGTATTAAGGACTAGGGGTATTAAGGACTAGGGGTAGGGGTATTAAGGACTATAAGTGCCCCAAGTCCTTCACTTACCTTTTGTGAGATGGACTTTCCAAGGGTTCTTCAACAGCTTGAGTAGAGCGGCGACCGGTCCAAGATGGCGCCCGCATTCCTCGACGCTCAGCACGCAATGGCATATACGTGCGGCATCTATGTATTCTATGTCTATGGGTAACACTGCAGCCTGGCTTCGTTCATTGGCTGAGAGTGATCAGCTAATGCTCTCAGCCAATAAGGTAACCCAGCATTGCCTGGCTTCGTTCACTGGCTGAGACTGAGAGTGATCAGCTAATGCTCTCAGCCAATAAGGTAACACTGCAGCATGGCTTAGTTCATTGACTGAGAGGGATCAGCTGGTGTTCTCATTCAATGAGGTTACTCTGCAGTGCATGGCTTAGCTCAGGGGAGCTAACAGAAGTCTCCTAAGCAAGGTAGTGGAGTGGGGGGAGCAGGGCCATGTGGACCACAGGTAATTAGTCAGACCATTAGTATTATTATTATTGCCATTTATATAGCGCCAACAGATTCCGTAGCGCTTGACCATTCTAACAACCTTTAGACTATTAACAGTGGGGGGAGCCAGGACACTTGGGATTTGTAGTAGTTATGATGCTTGGAGTGTTCCTTTAATATACTCATGTAATTAGGTCCATTAAATTAATATACGTATTTAATTGGGCCGCTTTCAGCTCCAGGCCCTTAATCTGATCCTGGACATGTCCAATAAAAATGATAAAAAGTTAAAAAATTTCGGTAGCCATGTGGTCAGTTGTTAAATGTGCTGAAAACATTGATTATATAAATATTATCTAGATAAAATGTGTTTCTCCTTAATGAGAGTATACTCTGTGATTTTGTTGGAGAAGTAATATCCCTCAAGGTAAAATTTAGGTCCATTTCCCATTATTGTATATATGCTGGTAGTGTTAGAATTTTATGAAGATTTGTATCGAATTAAAAGATTAATCCTAGTTGTTTAACTGGATTCAGGCAACTACTTTGAAATATGGTGGAAGGGACAACCCTAAAGGCTTACAGGTAATGTTGAACAAAATGCTTAAGCTGTAATTAGCAAACAAATTTGAGTCAGAACACTGTAACCATTTTCCAGTGTTTCAATATGCAGGACAGTGTTACTTTTTGGTAAAGATCAGATCTATCTACCTATCTATACACCAGGCACAAACGATGAATTGACCAGGTGCAAATAACAAGGAAAAAAATATATGTCAGTCCAGAATCCTTGGAAGTCATGCCCTTAGTATGTCCATGTGTCCTTCAGAGATGAAGAGAATGAGTCACTGAATTAGGTAAAATTCTTAAATGAAAGGAAGTCTGGTGGTCACAATAACCCATAAAGAGAAATAGAGTTAAATTGAGTTTTGATGGAGACCCACTTTGTTGCAACAGGAAATGGAGTACAATAAAACATGAGAACATTATACAGCCCTCTCTCAATTAAGACAAATAGAGTGAGCACTGCTTCAATTTTGGCTTCCTATCGTACTACATAGAAGCCAATGTGTGGACACAGCTTGGCTCTTTTAGCCTATAGTTTGCCATTTGGATTTCACTTTTCTGCAACTCATTGTTAAGTTAATTAACCACACATCCTCTCTCTGTAGCCACTTTGTTAATGCAAAGAGCTAAACAGCAGAACATGTGGTTGAAACTCAATATCTAAAGCCATGATGAAGAGGTCTAGTTGTTGTTTATCTAAACCAGGGGTAGTCAACCTTTTTCTACCTACCGCCCACTAATGCATCTTTCTTGATGGAAAAATTTCCTTACCGCCCACCAGTTTTCGCGCAAGTGCAGAATATTTTTTAGAAAGGAGGGTGTTTTAAAAAAAAAAAAATGTACATACATTTATCTTTTTATTTCTACTTTATGCATGTTTATAATGTTGTTAACTTTATAAAATATAATGAGAAAATAAAGTAAATTTAAATTACCTTTACTAGTGATTAATGAGATATTTGAGGTTGATGCTGCGAGACTAAATATTTGATATCTGGTTCGATTTTCATAAGGAACAAGCAAAGGTCTCCTCTTTCGGTGATATTCAAACGATTTCACTGTTTGCGCGTAATATGATTTCTCATCTGTGCATCAGCTCCCCTTCTCTCCCTCCTCAATTCACCTCTCCACCTTTTTTTTTCCCCCTTTTTCCTAATTTTTAACCTTCGTTATAGCAATGCCCAGCAGGAAGGCTGAGCTAGGTAGCCCACTTATTATTATTATTATTATTATTATTATTATTATTATTATTATTATATTAGCCAACAACAATTTTCTCCTTTTTCTTTTTTCTCCTTTTTTACAAGTACTCTGCTCTTTCTTTCTCCAATGCTACAAGTACTCTGTTCCTTCTTTCTCCAATGCTACAAGTACTCTGTTCCTTCTTTCTCCAATGCTACAAGTACTCTGCTCCTTCGTTCTCCTTTTTTTACAAGTACTCTCCTCCTTTATTTTATCCCCTTTTTTTCTATTTTTCTTCCTTCCTTTTTATTTTTTTTTTTTATCTTTTCCTTTTTATCTCCTTTTTTATGC